TTTACCAAGAGGGCTAGAAAGATTGTTTAGGCCTTGGTAGACTTGATTAGTAAAAGGAATTAAGGTTATGAACAGAAGCAAGGTTACCCAATATAAAACAGACAAAAACCTGAGAAAACTTAGTCTTGACTTTAGGATTCAATGTGAGGAATTTACTTGGTCTTTTGGCTTGAGAAATTTTGAAATCTTAATCCAATATGTTTAAAGGTTTTTAAGAGCTTTTCATGTTTTTTAAAAATTTTTTGATTTTTTTTTTCTTTTTTGGGATTTTTAATAAAACTAGTGTAAGATGAAAATCACCCTTGCGGCTAGGGTGGATTTAGGGTTGAAGAACTGTGCCGAGAACACATGAATGCATATGAAATTTCTACAATTTTCATTGAGTTTTGATCCATCAATTGAATTATGGAAAATCACTAGGTTTTATTAGAGACCATGCTTGGCCAACTACTCAATAAGGGGTTTTCCTTGATTTAAGTGAGGCTTGTTGTAAGAAAATAATTTTCTAATACATTTGTATGAATGAATAACATTACCACAACGACATTTGAAAAAACACAGATAAGATAAATTTCTACAACTCATTAAAGTATTAGAGTTAATAAGAGTCACCGAAATAGTTTCCTTTTGAGAGGATGACCGCTAAGCCCTTTCTCCTTTTGAATGTCTTCAAATATTTTTCCATTGACAATGACAAACTCTAATTTATTCTTCAGCAATATTAGTTTTACGAGTGAAATTCAAAATGGAAAAATGGAGGGAGAAGAAGAAGATGGTTAGCAACTAATTTCTGCCACTAGCTTGTCAAACTTCCTTAAAACCTCCTTTCAGCTCCTTGGCTTGCTACTCCTTTATTTGGAATGATGTTTATTGGCTAAATTTATGCAATAAATATTTTTCAAAAAATTTATATGATTCTTTCATGATAATTAAGAATCTAAATTCAAAGGACCTAAAATTTGAAATTTAAACTTTTAAACCACTGCAAATGTCTGCACATATACATCTTAAACAAATAATTTTATTGTAATATTCATAAATGAAAAATAAAAATAAAAATGAAAATCCCTAAATAAGGATTTTTAATTTCTTCTTGGTTATTGGAGCTAGATCACGTCTTAATCTTCATGGATTGAGTTTATTAGTTGCTAAATTGCTCGCTTGATTGGCACCTTTGTTGTGGATCAACATATCCTGACCGAGATCCCTGCTCCTAAAGATACCCATCAACTGTTGTCATCAACCAATTTTTGGTGAATACAATCTTGCATAATTTTCTAACATGGAAGTTTTTGACAAGTAAAAATGGTTCCATTTTGGATTTCTTAATTTACAGCTAATAACTTGCCACACTTTATTTTTATTTGATAATGCAGCAAGTTCATCTTTTCTTAAGTACCTCTGTCTCTTTAGGATGACTAAAATGTTCATCTGAAATTTTACTCCATTAACATTTATTGGATTCAGATGAATGACACAAGATCAATTTCTTTATCCTTCTAGTTTATTCACTGGGAAAAAGGGCGCGATGTCTTCGAGAGACTGCTCATAGATTCTGATTGGGCCATAAATAATGGCAACTGGCTGTGGCTCTCTTGTTCATCCTTTTTCTACCAGGTTAGTTTTCTACAACATTGTTGTCATGGTGTACAATGATGAACAAAATTTAACTCACATAGTAATCTATTTTGCTCATTCAACAGTATAACCGTATTTACTCTCCCATATCTTTTGGGAAGAAATATGATCCTAATGGAAACTTCATTAGGCATTTCCTCCCAGTTTTGAAAGGTAGCACCACTCATTCCCTATTTTGGTTACATTCATTTGTTCATTAAGAAGAACTTCTTAGATTAAAATTTGTTGCAGATATGCCCAAGAAGTACATATATGAACCTTGGACTGCTCCATTGAGCATCCAAAGCCAAGCCAATTGTATTATTGGCAAAGATTACCCAAAACCTGGTACTTCTCAACCTGAATTTTGGTTCTTGATGTTTTGTCTCAAACTTCTGGCTCTTCTTTTAACAGCTGATCTTTTGATGTTTAATCAGTGGTTTCTCATGACATTGCAAGCAAGGAATGCAAGAGACAAATTGGAGCAGCTTATGCACTAAACCTTTCTGGTGAAAGTCCAGATGCTGAGGAAAAACTGATTCATCTAAGAAGAAAGCTTGAAGAAGATGATCATGGTGGTCTTCATAATAGGAAGCAGAAAAAAAGGATATCCAAATAATGTTGGCTTTTGAGATGAAGTCTTACATTGTTGTTTATGCCTTACATGCATTTTTGTTTTGGTTTCATTTGGTTTTGATTTCTTCTACAAGTTTGTGCTCAAGTAATAGTAGTCTTCAAATGCTTGATTTAATTAGGTGAGAGAAAAAAAAATCCAATTATATGAGTGTTGAAATATATTGATCTTCGAACTGTCTTTATGTTAGCTCCTCAGAAAAA